AAATATATAATCTTAGATAGTAAGAATTACGCTGATATTATTATAAATAATCCAGGTTTATACAAAAGTCTGGATGATATGTATATTGGTGCAAAATTGGACGCTTTTTTAAAAACAGATAATTTGAAATGTTCCAAAGAGGATATTCATAATTTCAAATTGAGAGCTTTAGAATATTATATAGAAGTCTGCAATCAAATAAAAAAGCGTTTCAAGTTTAATGATAAGCATTTAGAGTTGGCTTCAAACTTTGCACCTTCTGTTGCAAGATCTGGAAATATTTTGTCTGTTGCAAATTTTGTCAACTTATTTTCAAATATTGAAATAGATATAGAGTCTGCAAATATTGAATGGCAGTTGTTGCCAGATAATTTCACGCTTAATGAAAATGTCAATATTAACGAGTTTTGGAAAAAAGTCAATAATTTTAAAACAACGACGGAAGTCCTATGTTTTCAAACTTGATGAAAATAGTAAAAGTCATTTTAGCTTTACCACACTCATCTGCTACTGCAGAAAGGGTATTTTCCCAACTAGCCTTGATAAAGACATTTTCAAGAAATAGGTTGCTTATAACAATAGCGGGATTCATTTTGCAAATAAAGGACAAGATGAAATATACTCAAGATGGAGCCAAAGGTTATCAACCAAATAGTAGGATACTTAATTACAATTCAAAAACTTTGGAAAATATACAGACTGATTAAGCTCTAAGGATTAAACTATGGACTTGGTAGTATTATTGTAATATGCATACTATTTCAATATTTTGTTTGTTTTTATTATAAGTTAAACAGGGATTATTTTTTTAGTTACACGTTTTTGTTTGCTTCGATTATTATGAATTAAGTATTTATTTTCTGTTTTGTTTTTATAGATTATAATAAAAAAATATATACAGTGTCGACCAGCGTATTTTTTTAAAACCTAGCCTGAAGCCTCTGCCTAACTAATTCATAAAACACAACTAATCCAGCAATACTATTGATCAAAAATACCACGTTGCCTTTTCTACATAAAAAAAAATTGAAAACATTGACAATTTTACATTAGGGTGTTCATTTGTACTGCTTTTCTTGCTTCAAGCAGTTTGGCGTTCACTTGTGCCATACCTACATAATAAACTTATAAATAGCAGCTCTTAGCAGATCTTTCTAATTTTCGAGTAGGTACAGCAAGTACAATTAGTACAAATGAACAGCTTAATTATATTGCCAACATATAAGGTCTGTTTCTGCAGGAAATCACAAACCAGGCAGAGCGAATTTTATTGGTTGAAAACAGTCAGAAACTAGTTTCAACAAATGAAATTCACTCTGAGTAGTTTGTGATTTCTGTAGAAACAGATCTAATGTCATTTTGACTTTTATCTTTTTAAAAAAACAGACTGTATCTCTGGCTACGCTGGGCTAAAAAGCTTTTTTAGCGATCTGCTGTCAAACGCTGTAAAATTTTTGGTTTCAAGTTGTGCTCGCGAAGCAAAAGATGTCGCGAGCGTCTACTGTTGGATGCCTATTCGATTGTCAAATTGACAGTGCCCAATTGCTTGAATTGCTACACAATTTCAATGTGAAAATCTACACATTCAAAAATTGGTCTGTAACAACCCTGAACTTAAACAAAAAAAAAAAATGTTAAACACAAAAAATGTAGGGTTTTATGTTTTACCTTTATCATCTTTTGCACATTATGTCAAAACGGGCAAATGACAGGTGCCAACTGTCATGATAAGAAACACTTGCACAAAAAATGTCTCACCACTGACATAAGGAACCGGCAACAGACGTAATTTAGGTTCATGTGGATGCATTATCAAACCTGAATAGCGTAGAAACAGCGGAACCAATATCAACATAAATGTTATATTTGGAATCAGAAGAAAAAAAAACAATCATTCTAGTTAAAAAGATAAAGGTGTTCCATTTTAAAAAAAAAAATGCAAGTGTTTCTCATCATGACAGTTGGCATCTGTCATTTGCCCGTTTTGACATAATGTGCAAAAAATGACGAAGGTAAAACATAAAACCCTACATTTTTTGTGCAAGCGTTTCTCATCGTGACAGTTGGCACCTGTCATTTGCCCGTTTTGACATAATGTGCAAAAGATGATAAAGGTAAAGTTTTTTTTTTTTTGTTTAAGTTGTAGAAACCGCACTAATAATAAGGACAGACCCTGTACAATATTGTACAGGTTTGCTATTTAATTTTTTCTGAATTCTGGAGCACTAAAATGGCCGCAGCAGCAAACTAACAGCCGTATCCACCAAAGTCAATTTGTCGTGCTGATAGATATAAGCTTGTTAATATTTATCTCCCCGAAAATTGAAAATTGCATTCACCATTCACCATTAAAAAGGCATTGATTGATAATAAACATACCGATAAATAAAAATCTCTAAATTTTTAGGTTGGTTTTCTTGCGAGGATAACTTCATTACACGATCTGACAGTTTGACAGTATTGACAGTCACCTTGAGGTAAAACAAAGATATAATTTACAGTGGTTTTTTAAGTTTTTAGTTAGATTTTTTTAAATAAATACCTTTTGTGTGATCCAGAAGTTTCTAGGACATGCCTAGAGTCTATTTAGTTGTTAATTGTGGTAGTATAGTGCAAGGGATACAATATCCTTCCATAGGTTTCCATTAATTTTGAATAACAATGGAAGGTTTGATTTGTTAACTCAAGAAAGAAGAAAAAAATTGATTAATGTCTTTTGTTAAGTGATAAGACGTCAACTGAGTTACTAAACAAAACTAGAACACCTATTTATGCTCCTTCAATAAATAATGGCTGAAAAGCAAGAAGTAGCTATAGTCAATGCTCGTCAATGTAAAAAAAAAAATTACAAGCAATATAGAAAAATTGTGGAAATACTGGTAAGGAAGTTTTGTATGAAAAAAAAATTGGAGGTGCTGCAAAAGAAAATTGATCTTATAAAGAAAATGGAATTAGTAGAAGATGAAAATATGAAATCTAAAGTTTTAGATAATGAAATAAAGGATCTAATAAAGAAAAAAGAACAAATTGAAGTGAAAATTAATAGTAGGGTAGAGTGGGGCAGATTCGGACATGGGGCACCTCCGGACAATTTGAATTTACCGCCTTCCAAAACTAGACGCGTTGCGCCATTTTAACAGTTGGTTCCGCTAGCTGTAAAGTATAATAGTTTCACATCACATAACCTATATTGCAAGAATCGGAAGAACATGATTTTCAGTTTTTTTAGGTTTTTTTACATTTTGTACATGTGGGGCACATACGGACAGTGAAGGGTGGGGCACATTCGGACGGTCCGGAGGTACCCCGCATGACTATCCGGAGGTGCCCCACATATCCTAGTATTTAGAAATTAGTTTGTTTCACTTGGAATATGATATAATGTGATAATAATTTTTTTCAAGAATGGTCAGAAACTATATCAAGAAACAAGACCGACCTGAGGCTTCCGAAGAAAGAATCCAAGCAGCTGTTACAGATGTTATTCAAAATAATATTTCCATACGTATGGCTAGTATTACACATGGTGTGAAAAAATCGACGCTTCATGACAGAGTTCGAAAAGCTAGGGTGGTCAGGGGACAAAATGCTGATTCTGGAAATGATAGTGATGAGCCATTTCTGATTTCAGGCTTATCGAAACATGCTACGCGACAAGTATTTTTTGTAAAAGAAGAAGAAGAACTGGAATCGTATCTCAAGCAATCGTCACAAATTTTATATGGTTTGACATATCAGGCAACTCGAAAATTGGCATATGAATAGGCAGTTAGATTAGCAAAAACCGTCCCCGAACAGTGGAAAGCCAATGAAATAGCTGGCGTCGAGTGGATGCGCTCATTTATGAAATGTCATCCAAGACTATCATTGAGAAAGCCCGAAAACACCAGTATTGCACGAGCATCAGCTTTTAATAAACATAATGTTGAAGAATTTTTTAAGAATTATTCTGAGGTGCAAGCTAAATACATGTTTGATCCTAGTCGCATTTGGAATACAGATGAAACCGGTGTATCTACAGTAATGCAGGCACCTAAAGTAGTAGCAGAAACTGGTAAAAGAGTTGTGGGCCAATGTGTTTCTGGGGAAAGAGGAACTTTGGTTACATTTTGCGGCATTGTTTCTGCTACTGGCAATACCATCCCTCCAATGTATATATACCCCCGCATTCGAATGAAAAATCATTTTTTAAATGGTTCTGTACCTGGTGCCGTAGGTTACGGCTCAAAATCGGGGTGGATGACTGCTCAATTATTCGTGAAATTATTAGAACATATCAGGAACCATACTCAGAGCAGTCCAATGAATCCCATACTTTTACTAATGGACAACCATGAGACTCATGTGTCAGTTGAGGCTATTTATTATTCCAGAGATCATGGTATTGTACTATTGTCATTTCCGCCACACTGTACACACAAGATGCAGCCACTTGATAAAGCAGTGTATGGACCATTTAAACAAAAATTCAAAGTATCTTTCAACGATAATATCTTAACTAACCCGGGAATACCTATAACCATTTATGACATTGCTAAACTGACGTCAGAACCCTATCTTCAAAGTTTCACACTAAAAAACATAATAAGCGGTTTTTCAAGCACCGGTCTGTGGCCCATCAATAGGCTTATTTTTTCCGATAGTGACTTCTTTGGATTTTACGCAACAGACCGGCCTCAGCCGGAAAGTAACGAAGATCACAATCTTACATCACAGTCCGATGCCAGTCTTAATGAACCGTCTACCTCTTCTAATATTTATCCCACTACTTCTTCCAATCATCCATCTGCCACTATCGATCAACCTTCTACCTCTTCCAATCATCCGTTTACGTCTTCCAATCATCTGGCGGCTACCTCTTTAAATCATATATTCACCGCTTCTGTAAATAAAGATGAAGTAACAGCAATGATCCGTTCAATAGTTGATGAAATTGTAGATGAGGCAACAAAGCCACCTGCCAATATTATTTCAATAAGCCACCTGCCAATATTATTTCAATGCATATTCTCAAGCCATCAGATATAAAACCGTTTCCAAAAGCACCGCCTCGAAAAACCAACAGAAAATCTCGCCTAGAAAAATCTAGAATTTACACAAACATCCCAGAGAAAACTCGAGTTGAAGAATTAGAAGAAATCAGGAAGCTGAAGCTGAAGAAAACTGGAACCAAGAAAAAGTTAGTGATAAATTCAACAAGCGCTCAAAAGTTGAAAGACAGCAATCCCACAAAAAAACAGATTCTCCACGAGAAAAAAAATAAAGAAAAAATAAGAAAGACAAAGAAAAGAGCCAAAGAAAGTGACACGTCTTCAGATTCTGAGTCAGAATATTTTAAAGCGATGAAAAAGAAGAACAGATATCTCGGCTCTTCATCTGACTCGGATATTGGCATGGAATCCGATTGCGATGAATTCGCTAAGCTTTTAGGTGATAAAACTGATAAATATTGTTCCTTTTTTTTTCTTTTAATTTACCCACCATAGTTAATTATTTTCTTTTTTGAAGATGATGAACCGATTTCCTGTGACGACTTCGTTCTTGTAAGATTTCCCACAAAGAAAACAGTCCTGTATTACGTCGGACAAGTGATAGCGATTGCAGAATATGGCGAATTTGTTGGAAAATATTTGAGGCATTCACACAACCGTTTCCACTTTCCCTCTGTGGATGATATTTCACATGTCACAAGATTCGAAATAGAAGCAAAACTGCCCAAGCCAACTTCTGTTGCTGGAAATGCCCGCATGGCTAGTTTTTTAAAATTCAACTTGAATTTTAGTTCTTTTAATTTGAAATAAACTTTTTCATACTTTAATAACAAAAACATGTTAAATTTTCGTTTTTCTGTCATAATTTATTTTTGTTATTTTTATGTGCCAAAGTTCTTGAGTTTTTATGTTTGGAGTTCTTTTAGAATATAAGTTTTAATTTGTTATTTTTATAATATTTATTTTTGTAGACTAAGTGCCAAAGTTTTTGAGTTTTTATGTTTGGATTTCTTTTAGAATATAAGTTTTGATGTTCAGATAAATGCATAGTTATTTAAAATACACCTGACAAAAAATAAACTGTTTATAAATTTAATGTCCGGACTTAACCCATGCGTATACAAAACTGCCCCACCGTGGGGCACCTTCGGACATATGACAACTTTTTTTTTTTAATTTCCACGAAAAACGGTGACAGTTTTTTCTGAAACTGCCATGGTATTGGTTAGAAAACATTTGAAGCAATTTATTTGCATTTTTAGAACATTAAGTTTAGCTAAAATAAAAGTTCGACATCACCTTAACCAAATCCGTCCGAAGCTGCCCCACTCTACCCTATATCACATGTGGAGGTGGCAAGTGTAGTGAAAACTTTCCACCGAAATATGTATAGTATTTTATTTTGATACATTAATTATCAAAAAAAAAGTTAAAAATATGACAGAAATTGAATTTCGACTGACACTTTGACTTATGAAATTTCAACACTACAAACATATGTGACATCTACTTCCAAATACAAAGATTACACCTGAATTTGTGTTTAGGTGTGAAAGAACAATTTATCAGGCCGAAAGTGAGTTCTCCAGGCTGAAAGGGATAGGAGAACTGTCACTTTTGTGATATGTGACTCTCTTGAACCCAAAATTGTTTTTAAGCAAAAATAACTTTTTAAAGTAGACACTTTGGACTACCAATTTGATATTCACATTTTGCTCTACAGACACTATACAGGTGCTAAAAAAAAACTGAATTTTCCTTTTACAAGGTAATTGTGATATGTGACTCATTTACACCCAATTTCTCACGTGAGCAAGATTAAAAAAAAAAAAAAAAAAATTGCTTTTTGATCAAAAACTGTTGCAATTAATGTGTCCCTTGTACTATTATTTGGATTTTGCAAGTGATAATTAGCAACACCGATGCCTTCATCCAAATCAAGCATATCTTCAACGATATAGTCCTCAAAATTATCATTAGCTTCAATGCAAATACTGTGTAACACTGCACAGGCCACTATTACTTCGCATATTGTTTCCAATTTGATACGCATACCTAATGATAGCCATGGAAATCTTCTTTTTAATACTCCAAACAAGCGCTCTACAACATTTCTTGTTATGATAATAATATGATCACTGTTATATCTTTGCTGTGCAGGTGTTTGTGGATTTAAGAGCGGAGTGAACACATATACTCTGCGGGAATAACCAGCATCTCCAAGGAGACAGTAAGGCTGAAATTCCTGATTTTCAAATCTCCCTCTTACATGCGAATCATTAAAGATATAAATCAACGATATAGTGGTGTCCTCAACAGAGCCTGGCCATCTGGCCACAACACTAAAGTAACAAGCCGAGATATTGTCGACTGCGACATATTGAAATGATTTATTTCAAATAATCCAGTAGCATAGAAACGAAGAGCTATTAAAATCTGATTTCTTTCGGAAATAGGTTGGTTCCGATTATCTAACGGTTCTGGAAGGTTCGCCAGAAAACCTAATAATCGTTCGAAAACGGATTTAAACATTATAAACTTTTGTTTCAAACTCAGGTGATAGATCACTTTAGGTTCCTTTGATTTTCAATATGATTTTGATTATTACTGATAAACAAAGCAATTTCAAGATGGTTAGCGAGAAAAAAAATATGGATCCTTGAATATTTATCAAGTTATTATTTTTTTAATTTAATTTTTTTCTTTGTTGATTGTGCATCTTTGATAGGTATAGCGATATTAGGCTGATAAGAATAGATATTATTTATTGATCTGTGTCAAAGGTTGAGAAGCGAGAGGATATAAGACATTAGTGACTAGTAATTTTTTACAATTATTATTATTTTGTTCATTTATTTTGTTGACTTTAATAGATTTTTATTTTATGGCAAAATCAGCATACCACCTTGGTAAATATTTACAATATTTAATGTTTATGGAAAAGGATTTTTTGAGGTTTTTTACTGATTTTATTGATTTTTTACTGGTTTTTTACTGACATTTTCAAAATTCCTACCTAATTTGTGATTAGTTTCCTAATTAACTTAGTAGTTGTCTATTAATGACCTAACGGTGCAATCTTTGCATTAAAGTAAATGGTCAACATTTTGAACAATTATTGTAAACCATAATTTATTTGTTAATAAATAAGCAAAATTAATAAATAAACAGTGATTTAATTATTGCGAAGAATAAAAGTACCAAACAATTTTTTTGCTCTACAGCCCAAATGGCTCATTTGCGGACATATGTTTATATAAATAAAAATGCTTGTTTTTTGTTTTGATGTCCCTTACTACCCTTTAAAGTTTGTCGGTATCTTTTTAGGACACCCTGTATATTTAAATAATATATTGTTTATCAAAAAAATGGACTCATCCATATTTTTTTTTCTTTATTATGTCCTAATAATTGCTCCAATGCAAATTTGAACATGGAAAAATTGTCCGTTTTTAGGGACCTAATGTGTTCTAGACTCCAAACTCAATATCGACCAATTCATGAAACAAGTTATTCCGCGGTTGTAGATTTCATTCACTACGCGTAGGATATTTTCATCACTGGAAACAGTGTCGGACGAGGATGACGTGGAATCTAATGCATCTATTCGGTCCATATTTTAATTTTATAATTAAAAAAATAGGACTCGCGCTTAAAATGTTTAACAAAATATAACTTAACCTCACTTTTAAAACTTTTATCTGCCTGATAACTCCTTTATCTGCTCGAAAATGGCCTGATAAGTAACGGCAGGTTTATTACGCTGATATGCGTTACCAGAAGTTGGTGAATACCAAAAAAATATTCATCGGCCCCTTAGGAATGCTATCAGTCTGACAACATTTTATCAGTGTTTGGTGAATACGGCCGTAGGCCAATAGGGCCGAACACACAAGGCTTTCGAGTGCGATTTTTTGGCTCAATACTCAGGACATCAGACTCCTATCAGCTCTGCAAAAATCAGCCTCCGTATTTTTTTTTTTTTTTTGAAAAACCTATATATTTACTGGACTTTAAAGAAGCCATACAACTTATTAGCAGACATTTACATAAATGACACCATTCCGTGTAATTACTGAAAAAGTTCTTTTGTAAAATAGATCATTAAGTAACAGGCAGTTGATATTTGTTGAATACCTGATTTCATAAGCAAATGTTCATTGAATCGTAAAACTTCGATATCATTGTAAAAGATGCAAAGCTCATCAACTGAATTTAACTATCGTGGTTTGAATACGACCCAAAACAGAGGATCTGCATTTTTTTATACTCTCTTCTCGGAATGTTTTCTTATTTAAAACTACCTTGTACACTTCAGATACATTATCAGCAAAACTTGACAGTATACAGTCGTGAGCATTGCAAGTGGGACACCCGACTTACAGGTCTTGCTATTTTGCGCTATTTTGGGTAAATCAGTCTTTTCTCTACAATGGATTTTTTTTTAAATATGACAATACCTGTCATTGCCGTAGGTATAGCTGATGAGCTCGTTTTTTACAATAGGAAAAAGTGACCCATTTTCAATGCTAACGACTGTAGGTTTATTTGAAAGAGCAACTGACTGGGAAATAATCGGGGATAATACCACGAGAGCTTCAAAATTACCGATAATTTTTCACGATTGCGTGTTGTCTATGATCTCACCAGTCCGAAGGACGAGTGAAATTTGCAAAGAAAACACGCATGAGTGAAAAATTATCTGGTCCATTTTAAAGTTCGAGTGGTATTTAAAGGATTATTTCACGAATGAAAATGAAAAAATATGGAAATAAATATTTATTAAACAATTTGAACAATTTAACAACTCATCATTAAATTGAACCAAAACTCAACTTAACTTATTAAAATTAAATTAAACCAAAATTTATTTAATAATTATTGTGTAATAGAAATTACAGCTATGATAGTTTTCTGAAGACATAGACATTGACGAGCTACTGGGAATATTCACTGAAATTCCAGTTGATGTTTCACGCATTTTTTTTATTATGTTCTGATGGTGTTTTTCGTTCATTTGGATATAACTTGAAAGAGATTTTGGGTTTGAATGACCAGTGGTTTTAATCAAATTTTGTTCCGAGATACCAATTTTTTCCAGTTTAGAGTCTGCAGCGGCTCTCAATGAATGATTTGATATGTTTTTATTATTTTTCAGTCCAACTTGCGTTGCTTCACTTTTCGTCCATTTAGAAGTCTCATTTGGTCCAACAGTACCATTTTCCACCTGATACCCAGAATGGATTTACTGTTAAAAAAAAGTCGTTTATTACTTGGGTCTCCACGCTCCAACTCTCAATAGTGACAAATTGAGCTGTGAATTTTTTGTTGATTGATAAAATCTGTAGTTTGTTTAAATACTACTGTGTAATATTTTTTGATTCTATGTATATTGATCTTTTGATATCTTTATGCATAATTAAATATTTCAGATTTATAATCAAGGTTAAATTGGTGTCTTTTTGTGAGTTGGCAGGTTTTTGCATTTTGCAAAG